TGTAGGATCAGGGTCCGACATTATTTGAAAATAAAACAAAGAGCTTCACACAATCACTTAGTTTATTTCGATTAAATGAACTTACTTTCACATTAATTTTTAATTATAATAATTGAATAATTCAGCACTGATTATATAAAGGAAACACTCAAATAAAACCAACAATAAAATTACTCAGCGATTGCGTAACGTGTGAACTGGGCAACGATCGACGAACGACTGACTCGAGCTTGCGCTTGCGCTGCTTTATATATCACTCGGTGGTGGGGTTGAAGTGACGTCGGTCAGTTGTTTGTTCACTGCTCGCCCATTACATTCGCAGTTTACAAAATAATGACGGCGGCGCCGACATATACTCTAATCACTATACTGAATAGTATTATCTTTTCATTTACTAGCTTCTGCTCATGACTATGTATGCACAATACCCTTTTCTCCCTTTCCTCTAGGATTATTATTTATAAAAACAAGAAAAATTAGAATTAGTCAAATCGGTCTAGCCATTCATTAATTCATTAGTTTTGTTTAAATATGTTTTAAAAATACTTGAAATTTATTAACAATAGAAGTACCCATACATTTTGTTCAATAGAATATACAGGTGTCCCTGAAGTCAACAATTAAATGGCACCAAGTGATCAACAAGGTTCCAACAGTTATCAAAAAAATATTTAAAAAAATCCAAATCATGTACTTTTCAAATTACAATGACTTATGTGTTATCCATGAGAAAGTACACTATTGTTGCTACAATTCTTTATTTTTCAGCTGAATTTTTGCTTACTTTATCCTGAAGTGTTTAAGTATTATGAAATCATAAATTCTGAGGGAACTGAATATCATTTCAGTTATGTTAGGGACACCCTGTATGTAGATTATTTAATATCTAGATTGTATAAAGGGTTGAGTAGCACGAGACACCTACCTGTATAGCACTCAGAGTGTAGAGAATGTGTGGGTCATGTGGGAAGCATGCTGAGATGCCACCCGACTCCTTGTTCTGGCATGTTGAGATGAAGCTTATTATGTCATCCTTTGGCATCCTGTGTGATGTAAACATTCAATATTTTTAGGAAACTAATTTCAAAATGTTTCAGTTAGACAGTTGTAAGTATAAAATAAGTTATTCTAATTTAGATACATTTCAAATTTTATTACCAGCTATTTGGGGCACAAAACTATTATGGTTATTAGGATAACTTACTATGAACTGCAAAAGAAGGCATATTAATAGGAATTTTATGTGTATTTTAAACTACTACTATCATGAATATGATAGTAGTAGAGGATGAAAAACAATAATTAATTAATGTAGGATTCATGAGGATTTGATACAATTTGATGCTCAGATATGTTAACATTTTGCAGCAGTATTTCATCATGCTAAAATAAAGGTAAAGTTACCTATCAGAGGCTCCCATTAGCTCCATCGCCGTCAAGCTCCAGTAGATGCCCGACATCCGAAGGTACTCAGTCATATTGTACTCATAATCGTCTTGATCTGTTCCATATTTAGCCAAGTAGTCTATATGTTTCTTTAACAACAGTATTTTAGGTCTGTCGATACTAATAATCACGTCTTTCGGATTTAGAGTCATTTTTATATTGTTCATAATCACTGAATACATAGACATAAATAGAAGCTTGGTAGCTTCTTACAAAGGTTGAAGGAGTACGAAGACTCCTTGCACGTGTAAGGTTTGGATCCGGCTAGGAAGAATTAAAAATTCAGTTGCCTTAATTAAAACTGAAGAACAATAATTTTATAATCTCTTGATAGAGATTACACGATTCACCACGACAGATAATTCTGCCGAAGTGTAATGTCACTGTCACTGTCAAAATGTCAAAATTATCGATAAATTACTCGGACTCATCTGCGTGAAACGAAATGGAGTGTGGTATGAAAAGACGTATTTAAAATATTCCCGTTTTTTTTTAAGTAATTTAGTAAATTCGGAACTGGATTTTATAGTATTCACTTAAGGTCGAGTGGTTCCGAGTGCGACTTCAAGGTGTCTCGGGTTCAATTCCCGGGTCGGCAAAGTATTACTGGGTAAAAAATCTCAGTAGTAGCACGGAATCTGGCATTGTGCCCGGTATATGGCAAAATAAGTCATGGCAATAGATCAGTGAGTCCCATGTATTAGGGGATGAGCCCCCTATTAAGTGGCGTAATGAGCACCTCTGCCTGCCTCTGCCCCTGTTCTCCCCAAGGGGGTCTTCGGGGATAAAAAGGCGTGCTGTTATGTTACGTTATGTCATACGTAGTTGGGTGTATTGTAATGTAATGGAAGCATTTTTTTACGGTAAGAAATAGGAACGTGCAAAAGCTGCAACCGAAAATGAAAACAAGGAGGTAAGTAGTTAGAGTGGGCTGTGAGTTTAACTGAAGTGACTTGGACGTGGCTTGGGTATGAGAGGATGAATGAAAGTGATAGTACGAATACTTATTTACAAAGGATGTTTATGGTAACATCGCGCCGCCCCGGTAGCGGTAGTAGAGGGTCGCCCTAAAATAATAAATACAGACCTTATTGGGTGACGTAATCAAAGAAGAACAGAATGCGAAGTAGTTTGAAGTTGAACTGACGTGTTATTATACTTTTTTATGGAATAGATCACCTGATGATAAGCGATTAGCGCTGCCCATGGACACCCGCAAGACCAGAGGCGCCACAGGTGCGTTGCCGGCCCTTTAAAAAGGAATATGCTCTTTTCTTGAAAGTTTGAAGGTCGTATCGGTTCGGAAATACCGTGGACGACAGATCATTCCACAGTTTTGCTGTGCGAGGCAGAAAACTACTTGAGAATCGCACAGTTATGGACTGTCAACCACCTTTATGGTGGGGCTGCATATGCTGTCGTGAGGGTCGATGGCGAAAAGATGCGGCAGGTATCAGGTCAAACAATTTCTCAGAGCACTGAGCTCGGGGATTGCTATTATTGATTGCCACCATACTTCTGTAGCGATGTAATGGAAGCAAAATGTATGTTCGTAAGTCGGCACTGTAGAGGTTCTGCCTACCCTCAAAGGCTTCAGGTAGGTATCTTTTTTTGTGTGGATGTGTAACGACACATCAATAAAAAATGTATGAGTTGATTTATAAACTTGAACTAGCCAATTTACAAATGAAATTGCGTCGTCGTCCTAAGTAAATATACATACGTATGGTTCAGAGAAAATATATTTATTTATAGGAGTAACCACAAGATGTGATAGAGGTTTATCAATAACACTCAATGTTAAGTGACTACGCAGGAAAAATCCCACACACATGAACAGGTGAACAGGTAAGAAAAGAGAGAGATAGTGATGCGAGAACTAAAGGTTAAAGTCGGGGCTTTCGTTAAAATATTATCTTTACGAAGTTCAAAAGAAGCGTAACTTATTTATGATAAGGTTGGTGCAGCATTATCCCCCTGGCTTACACAAGAATAAGTAAGATAAGTTAGTAATAACTGTTGACTGCACGGTTGGTGCAGTGGCTGGGCAACCGGCTGCCGCGCAACGTGTCGCGGGTTCGATTCCCGCACGGAACAACTCTTTGAGTGATCCACAAATTGTTGTTCCGGGTCTGGATGTCATGTGTATGTAAACTTGTATCTTTGTAAACGCACCCATGACATAGGAGAAAATCCTAATGTGGGCAACGTTTTATTAAAAGAGAAAAGAGAAAGAGAAATATAATTATGATTAAATGTAGATAGTTAAGTTAGATTAGGGTGTGATGAGGCTGACATACCTTTGTAAGGGAAAAGTCTCTGAATAAATATAGATAAAAATGAACATGTTACCATTTTACTTATGTGGGTACCTACTTAAAGGTCAGTCAAACTTGTCATTTTATAATCGATGAACTTTGAAAGATTAAAACCGATTGATGTCAGATTAAGAAGAAAGAAATACTTATAACACTAAAAATTATTAGTTACTTACTCACGTAAATATACTGAGAAAAGCTCAGCGGTCGCAGCGACGTCACACAGCCTACAGGCGTCGCCATTACTAGAGCTTTTCTCGGTATACTTACGTGAGTAACTCGTAATTTTTAGTTAATTCATAGAAAACACAATGTTGCTTGCACCGCTCGGGTTAAGACAGAATTTGCTAAATTTCAGTACGATAGACGCTCGACTTACTTATATAATAAAATAAACAAAGAAATACATATCTATGCTAAACCGTTTAAAGAATGTAAATCGTTACTGTTGAACTGGATAAACAAGTTATGTTATGATGAAACAGAGAATCTACTGCTAAATTAAAATTAAATCTAACTTAAGCTGTTCCTATTTACAATACCCTAATTGCATGTAAAACAACCTTCCACACACCCTTTCACTCACAAAAACACATACACCCGCACACAAACACACACGCACGCACACTCTCACACACATAGCCACACACACACACACACACAGACCAACAGACTTAATATGTTATAACTAGACTTTCAATTATTTATTTTCACTATTGTAACGTATTACACTTGTATGATATAAAAGAGCGGCGCCTCCTGGTACAGGCATTTATATGCTTAAAAGGAGACGCCACCAACTGTGTAACTTTGTATTAACGTGTAATAACGAAATAAACATTTTTTGATGTTGATTTTGATTTTGAATTCAGTATGTCTCAAGAGAATTACTATAAAATACATAGAACACATTGAATTTTTAGCATAATAGTAAAAAATCGTATAAAGTTCACGTCACCTAAGCTTAACTGCAGCTGTAGCCAAATGCCATTTAGCGTCTACATGTAGAAAAGAAAACCAAAATGTAATAGACGTAAATGTTGACACTTGTCAGTGTCATCCCCATACATTTAGATTTCTACTCTCTCTGTAAACAAGCGTTAAAGTGGAGTTTGACTTTAGCCAGTACCTTTAGGCACTGTACGTCAATGCAATAAATAAGCTTTGAACAACTTCTTTTTTCAAAACAACTTAGATTGGGCTTGAGTACCTTTTTTTTTAAAAAAAACAGCCTTACTTGAAAACCCTTGTCGAATAAGATTTCTTACAATAATTATGTGTATTCTTTTTATTTGTGGCAATTCCGCTACGCTGCGTAGTTTGAATCGCGAACAAACCTTTAACAAATATTTGCGTGGCCTCCTTACCGTGTGTTTGTTATTTCAGGTGTCCTGTGAGTGCGAGCGTTGTGCACGGGTTTGTGGAAACTCAGAGTTCTCTACTTCGCAAACATCCGGGCTACATATCTCAGTGCCTTATGAGTAAAAAATTTGGAAAAAGCATTTTTCCTATTAAAATGTAGTCGTAATAATATCCTTATTGTAATAATTTGTGTGGATACGCACCTAGGTGTGTAAAAACTCCAGTACTCTTTCAATTTTTGCCTTAGTTTCTATCATAGATATAATCTGTGGTTTCTTTCTTATGTCCGTGGAGTCAGTAGATGGCGCTCTTAGGCAACTAGTGTACCAGGGCCAATATCTGTAAAGCCTTCCTGTAATGTTCTCTTCTGGAGTAAGATATGGTGTTCATTCAGCCGTTTATTTTTTATTGCAATTTCAAGGCAATAACTTAGCTTTACTGATCTTTTAAAACTCCATTAGGTAGGTTAAGAAGTACTTGGTTAGCTCTTGCCGAAACCGTTTGAATACATAACTAACTAAGTATATAAAGTTACCTAATCAAGTACAAACAATCTTTCAATAGGGTAGAAAAAGCCAGCTACTAATTTGACACGCCTCTTTCATCAAAAACTAGACGACGTAAGTGCGAAATAGTTTTTATTGGCGACGGTTTTAATTGAGCCCTTGGGCAGAATGTCAGAGTATCATTAAGGTGATTGAAGGAAGCAAGGCATTGGCTGGCTGGCTATTATTTGTTATTTGCCTCGTAAGTTGGGATGGGTCTTGTGTTCGATTCCTGGGTTAGGCAAAACAATATTCAGATTTTTCTTGTTTTCAAAAATTCTCTCTTAATCTTCATTTTACGTCTGTCTACATTTTCGTTTAAACTCGTCGAGTACCGTCATTATAGACACAATTATAGAACAATAGGTTGCGGTCACCGGTGACCGCTTGGTGTTTGACAGTTTAAGAGCATGACGTTATAATATTTCTTTTACAAAAAATCGTATGTACTAACGTTGCCCCCGACCTTATTGGCTATGTGCAAAGCGAGTAGTGGCGGACAAATAACGTCCGCAGCGCACAACGCGGCAGAAATTGGAAACAAATGCGGATGATGCAAACCCGGTTTTTATTATTATATTCATTTTACAGTAAAACTATTGAATAAATTGCACTTAAATAATGTTAACAATACTATTTTAATTTTAATTATATTTGCAAAAAAATAATATTATAATGTTTACATTCCCTACGCGTCGCCACCGCCGCGCACATAGCCAATACAAATAAATATAAATATTTAGTGTAGTTCCTATGCGATGAGAAATTCTCTAAGTGCTCCCCTACACTCATATGGGTTGTCTGTCAGTCACACAGGAACGAAGGTGTTGTAATAAAATGAATATTGACGATGCTTTCATTATTGGTTGTTTCCCTTGCAAACGTCGGAGGATACGGATTCGGATCGTGTTTACATATAACATGCTATTACAGAGAAACTTTTCGAAAATTTAAAATACCAGATCTTTTGCTTAATAAACGCAATTTGCCGTCACACAAAGTCTTCAAAACAGACATAGGTGAACCTATTAAACCTATTATCTCGATCAATTCAATTACAATTCAATTATGTTATGAGTTTCATGTGGGTACCAATTGAACAGCTACCAAATGTGTCTCATCGCATCAGAAGTGTGAGACAACTTGAG